CTGGGCTGATTTTTTTTCTCTAAAGGCAGGCATGGAAAAAATGATACGTGCAGCAGTATTTCATTGCTACGTGAAATGTGGCTACAGAGAGGATTTCCTGCAGCATAAAGGATTTTAAACAACAAGGGCTTGAGCTGACAGTCAGGATGAGGATACAGGATCCTTTGTGGGTTGTATTCCTGTAAACTGGGATCCTATTTGGTGGTGAAGCCTGACCAGTGCTTGCAGGGAGTTACTGCTCCACATAGAGCTGGGCCAGTGCCCCCTGCACCAGCCCTCGGTGCTGCATGCCCCATCCTGGCATCAGTGCAGCACCCAGCATCTATGCTGTGCCTTACCAAGCGAGCTGGGAGCAGTGCAACACAGGCTGCCCCACAGACTGTGCTTATAGTAAATGAGGACTCTGCATTTTATTCTGTGCTGTGCTGCTCTTCAGAGGTGTTGTCTGGGAATGGGCAGTTTTTACTGCTACAGGAAGCTTGAAATGTAAAGAGGGTGGTCGGGCTCAACTGCAGTCTTTTATCTCAGCCCAGTCTCTCACCTAGGAGCAGATACAGCAGCTCCCCTGTGGTACATGGGAGACACCATGATACTGACTCTGTTTTCTGTTCTGGAGGATGTGGATCATGGTGTCCAGCCACTCGGAGATGAGGGAGCTGTGCTCATTCAGCCACAGCTCCAGCACTGTGGCCAAGAGTGACTGAAATTCCTCCTATTCAGTGTCCTGAAAAAGAGACACTGTCTCAGACTGGGCAGTGTGTACGTGACTGCCAAACTCAGGAGAAAATACATGCTCTCAGTAAATAAATGCATTTTGAAGAAGCTTTATGTAGACTATTTAGAGGAAAACATACTTGCAAACACGCTTTTGAGTAACTTTACATTGGTAGATTAACCAACTTCAGTTCAGTTATTCATATATCTAACACCAAATGTGCAAGTATTTGCTGATTCAGAGCCTGTGCTTATGCTCTGTGAACGATGATGATGGTGCCTTTCCCCAGCCTCTGAACTCTGACAAGGTTTAAAGGTCTCTGTAGGCAGAAGGGCTGGGAGTTTACCCTGAGCTGTGCAAGTCTATGATGCTCTTTCAAGCAGCTTCTTGGAGGGTAAAACTGAAGCAGCAGCTAAACTGTGCTGGAAAGTGACTGTCTCCTTGGAAAAAGTGTTATTACAGATCATGCTACAGACACGTTGGGATATAGGTTTGCTGTGAATCGTAGAATATTTGGTGGATACTAAGCAGCAATTAGAGCCTTCCTTTGGAATCAATTCATTTCCTACCGCCGTGGTAGCAGGGAGGATCTTATTGAAACTCTAGGATTTTTAATATTATTACACTAAAGACTCTCTCAGTATCAGCATCTCCGTGGGGGAGCATTAGCACACTGTAATGTGTAACAACATCTCCAGTTCAGGAAATCTTGTTGTATTTCTAATAGGGCATGTGGGGCATATATTATGTATGGGACATATATTTCTCATTTCCACCAGGCATCATCCTTCCTTCTCTCTAAATTACTCTCCAAATAAAAAAAAAAAAATGCATTGTATTCCTTATTGCTGAAAATACATATATATATTTTTTTAATCTTTAGACCCAGAAGCCACTAACAGCCATCAGGCCTGCATGTGGTAGAAGCCAGAAAGCCTTGGTCGAGTGGTAGGGAACAGAGCTGTAGTTAAAAATACCCAGTTATCACCATGGTTCAACAAGCACCAGTCTAAAATGGTTTACTGGAGAGAACCACCAGCCAGCACAGGTTTGGCCTCAACCCAGAGCTGCATCCAGGAGTAAACGGAACACCAGGATCCTGCTGTTGCAGAACACTTTGCTTTATGGATGGGAGTACAAAACCACTAATGTGCCTGTTGCTCTCCAGGCAAGCCTCTGAAACACACACTAATCAAAGCTTATAGTGTTTCTCTTGGTAGTAAGTCTGACCACACCAGAATGAAGAGCAAGGAGCTGGAACAACAGAAGGGCTGCTTGTTCAAATGCTCCTCTCAGCTCAGCCTGGCTAAAGGGAGGTAGATAGAGTCCAGCTAAGGTGGAAGAAGTGAACAGTCATCCAGGTGGGAAAAGAACAGGTTGAACAGAGCTCCTCAAATGATGAGCAAATCTGAACAAAAAGATATGGGAGAGGGGGAGGAAATCAGTGAATTAGTGGTGTAAAGGCAGAATATCAGAAAAGGAATCACCCTGTAACCACAGATAGACGTTCCATTAAATGTACCTTCAGGTGGCACTTGATTTTGTTAAGGCAAAAGAGGAGAACCGGGAGGAAATTTGGGTGACATCTGAGTGAGACCTTTCCCATCTTATGGGTCAGAGGCCACATTTCCAGCACAGAGGAAAACGTGACTCTGAGCAGGCAGCATAGCAGGGAAAATAGAGGAAACCAGCCCCAGAAAGGACCTAGGAGAATGTCTTGCCTGGTTTCTGCCCCAAGGGATGACTGAGTGATGTCAGATAAGTGCTTTCAAGGTGACCAGTGAGATAAAGACTCCCCAGGCTGTTTGACTGTCTTTACTATACTGAAGTTTTTCACCATATCTTTGCAGGATCTCTTGCTGTACTTCACACCCATCACCTCTTAGTCTGCTGCTGCCCTCCTCTTTAATTTACCTCCAAGCTAAGGTGTTTTCCTCCCTCCTTTACTTCATTCTTCACCCCAGGATTTTTTTCTTTTCCTTTAGATTAGTTTAGATTAGCTCTTTCAATCCTGCATCAAAGACCATTGATATCAAGCCCTACACCACTTGCTGCTCTCCAGCTTATTGCTGATGACCTTCCTTCAGTAAGGTGCTCAAAACCAAATGCAGGGCAGCTGCAGGATCAGTTCCTGTGACGATGGCAACAGGCCATAGTACTGTTCCAGGTTGTGATTTGCATCATCTGCTGATTTAATAAGTGCATTCTCAATTTCATCACTGCGATAACGTTCAGCAGAACCAGACTACTGCAGACACCCAGGTCAGGATGGGTTCTCTGCTGCAAGTGGACCCAGCCAGCCTTGCAAACCCTGACCTCTCTGAACCATGTATGTTTAGGGTTTTTTTCAGTCCATGGCAAGAGGAAGTGTCAAACACCTGGCTGAAGTCAAGGCAGCTCCCAAAACTGCTTATTCCTCAACCCCAGGGACTGTGCTCTCCAGAATAAAACTAGCTTTCTTTGACACAATTCACCCTTCCCCAGTCCACAGCAGCTGATGCTTGTCTCCTACATGCGATTTGGGTCAGAAGGAGCCAGGTGCTGTTGACTCAATTGCAATTATCCAGCTCTTTCCCACCTTCCAGAGGCTCCCGGCTGTGCCGGGCCAAGCACCTGAGCATTCCCCACCCAGGCGGAGGGCAGCGGGTGCGCCCTTGCCCTCACAGGGGTTGGATTGTTGTGGCCGGAGCCGCTCTCCGAGCCCTGTGCCCCGGCTTGGGCAGAACCGGAGGTGGGCAGAGCTCCGGGGGCCGAGGGGTGGCAGTGGGGCCCCGGTGCCCCGCCGTGGGTGGGGCGGGCGCGAGTGCCGGCCGGCGGGGCCGGTTCCGCGGTGGGCCGGGCCCTCGCCGCGGCGGTGGGAGGCAGCTGCGCTGCCGCACGGTGAGTGCCCCGGGGCCGGGCTGCGGGGGTCGCGGAGCGGGGCGGGCTCTGGGCCCTGCGCGCCGCGGTCCGGTCGCGGGTGGGCGGGAGCCTGCGCGGCGGCGGCGGCAACGGCGGCGGGGGGAGCCCGGCTGCGCTGTGTTGCGCTGCTGCGGCCGCGGAGCGCCCCGGGGCCCGGGACAACGCGCCCCGCCGGGTGAGGCTCCGCGCGGGGCCGGGCCGCGGCCTGCCCGCCGCTCCCCGCCCCGCTCCGCCCGGGCCCGCAGGCCGCTCCCCCGCCGCCGCCGCTCCTCCCGCCGGGCCGCGCCGCGCCGGCTCCGCCGGGCGATGAGGAGCTGCTTCTGCCTGCGCCGGGGGAGCCGCGACCCGCCGCCCGCCGCACGGGCAACAGTTAAGTGTCCCCGCACCCGCCGCGGACCCTCGGCGCGGCCCGGCCCGGTGCGGCCGCCCCCCTCTGGGGCCGGGGGCCAGGCCCGGTGGGTGCTCGGGGATCTGGCGGGGGCAGCGCGTCCGAGAGGGGGGCCCAGCCCGGCCTGGGCCTGCGGGGCACGGCGGCGGGAGCACTCGCACGGCCCGAGCTCCGGGCGAGGCGGGCGGACTGGGACCCCCGCCCGGGCGGAGCGGGGGTTGCGCAGGGCCCGGTGTGCGGGCCGGGCTGCTCGGTTGCCCGCTGAGGAGGGGCAGGTGGGGGCGCCCAGGGCTCGGGCAGCGGCTTGTGGGTGGCTGCGTACAGAATAGACCGAGGCTTCGTTGAGCCCTGGTCGTGTCCTGAGCTCCCCGGTGACCCCATGCAAGACCAAAGCGCTCTGCTGTCGGTGGCAAGGATCAGCAGTGGGGCAAAGCCCTGGTGACCTTGACCTGCTCGGGAGTTTCTGTAGATGTCATTAGTGACTGGTTGGAGACAATAGCAAAACCCGTGCCTTTTGTGTGGTCTTTAGCAGCAAGCGTTTACAGCATGGGTTTACATGACTACCCTTTTTTCTCACCTGCTCTCATGTTTCTGTGTATCTGGAGGTGATAATGTGAGCTCTCTCTTTACAGCACTGGTCAGAGCAGCGATACTGGGTTTCCTGTGTTTCATGTACTCACCTCGTGCATTACTGAGACTCCTGAGCTTCCACTGGTTTTTGGGAAGGTTCTCAAAGACCTACCAGGCTTCAGTGTTTTCTGTGCTTGGTCACAGTAATGCAAAATGAGGCCTTCAGCAGAAACAAGCCAGGCTGGGCCTCAGCAGGTGTTCAGCTGTTTGGGCTGAAACTTAGGTTTCTCCATCTTGTGTTTTATTTTAGCTGCATGAGAACATGCTAACGTGTACCTTAGTGCATCGTGGAGCAGGTTGGTGGTGTCACCTCGGTAATTTTTAGCTAAGGTAGCGTTACCAGCTACATTTTCTCACCATAAAGGCTTAGTTTGAGCTTCTGGAGGTGTGAAATAGAACACGCAATGCTTCAGTCTTGGAGTGCATGCTGCTCTGACAAAATGAATCCCAGGCCCAAGGGTTGTTGTAGTCCCCAGGGACTGCATAGCTCATACATGTGCCAAAATAGAAGTAACTGAACTGAATGTTGTTTGAATTTTGATGGGTTGGTTGTGTATGGAAACCTATTTTGGTTTGAAATAGAACGCTCTTCACAGATGTGTGTCCATAGTTAGATGTGCTGTGAAGCAATACAAGTTCCAGTTTTGCTCATTCCATGACTTAAGTTCCTGTTTCCATCCAGGTCAGTTAAACTGTAGAGAGTTTGCAGCTGAGACAGGGCAGCTGTCTCGAAGACGGGAGCCTGGGTGCGGGGGTGACTCCAGACATACCTTTATTTGGGGAGAAACATGAAACTGAAATTCTGCCTGCTTGTGATGGAGGCCCCCAGGGCCCTGACCCCTTGTCCTGCCATGGTCTCCTGTTTTCTGATTGAAACTGTGTCCTATTCCATGAACAGAAATAGAAAACTGGCTTGGCTGTGTCCTGTTCCCGGACGCAGTGGGAGGACCAGGCGTGCAGAGGAGAATGGCAATGTAACTTTGAAGCGACGTGTGTCGTGCCAGCAGTACCTACTGCCTGTATAAAGTGATGGAGCGATAGCCCAAGCATGCGAGCGAGGGTTTTAGCAACGTGTCTGCTTTGCTTTGATGGGGTTATTTCCCGCAGGGTGCAGGAACTCAGTGAGGTAGTTGGTAATTTTTTTTCCACTTTTGGCTTAGCTCATACTTTTCTGCCTGTAGGAAGAACAAGTCAGTGTCAAAGTGCAGGGCTTGTAGTAGAAGGAAGAAACAATAAGCCCATTCTCTCCAAGTCCCTTGCTATTTAACTTCAGAACTTGACCTGCTTTGCTGGCAGCATGATGCTTCTGTAGCAAATACATCATCAGGCCTGATTTGATCATGTACCCACCAGCTCTTGAACTTGCCTAACTTGCTGAAAAGGAATGCCGAGGGGGAAAAATGTTCTACAAACTCAATAATACATTCATTTCTGAAAATGTATTCCTTTGTTATAGATAGTCCCATCCAAAGCACAGCAGCGTGTGTGGTCAGTCACCTCAGTGGAATACTTGAAATGGACAGTGGAACCAGCAGAAAAGTATGCCTAGGATAAACACATAAAAGCAGAGATGAGCTAGCAAGAAAACGGGTGAGAGCAAGTGAGAAGGACGCAAACAGTCTTGGGAGTGCTGTGAGAAAGAGAGGTGTGTGTGACTGCGGGCATGGGCTGCAGGACAGCACTCTGGGGTCATGGGCTGCCCTCAGCTTTGCTGTCTCCAAAGGGTACAAGGCTCGAGGTGCTGAGGCAGCTACGAGGAGCTGTGCTGCCAGTTGGCACACGGCTTTGTCCTACCAGGGCAGCACGGGCCCTGTGTTACACGTCTCCTAGGGAGCAGACACGCTGTGCCTGTTGGAAGTAGGTACTTCACAGCAGGAAGAGTCAGAGTGGAGCACTGGTGAGCATTGTGTGGTGACGGGTTAAACCGAGACCTTGGCTGGGCTGCACACATGTGGCTTCCTGACTGAATGTCACTGCCTGATGCATGCACTTCCTCTGCTCTTCTTCCCTGCCTGTACCTGGTAGCTTGCTCTGAAGGCTGTCACTGGCTGGGGTTGGGGAATGGCAGGATGAGGGAGCAGGATGGGGTCTGTGCCTCATACCTGCAGACGTTGCGCCTGGTTTGTGTCTGGCCATACCTGGTTTGGTGCCACACAGAGCAAGTGGTGCCCCAGACTCTGGGCAGGAAGAGGCAAAGACAATAAAGCAGGGCCTTGGCTGAGGCAGAGGCTCTGAAGGTCTCTCCTACAGCTGGGCATCAAGATCCCCAGTCTCCTGCTTTGTCTCCTGCTTTTCAGCATGGCCAGTTCAAGGGGGACAGAAGGCATTTGGGATAAAGCCAGCAGTGTGGTGGCTGCATGTCAAACCATATGGTCTCTGCGTCTTGTCCTGCAGCCATCCCACTCTACTCTGCCGTGCATTACTCAGGAGTGGTGCTGGCAGGACACACAGTGACTTTCTCTGGTGGAGCCACATCCTTTCCCTGGTGGCTTTGTCTGAGTGGCCCCACAGACTTCTTCCTGCATCAGAGCTTGCATCCGGTTTCCCTTTGCTGGATGTGGCCCTGCAGTTGGGAATGACTTCCAGGGAGCATGCTCCCAACTGGTGGGAAAAATGCTGTTTTGGGCTGTTCCCAGAATAACCCCACAGTGAGCAGAGTGGCACAGGGCCCTTCAGCAGAGCTTGGCTGAGCACAGGATGGAGACAGGCCACCTCCTGGTCAGCTGGTTTGAGTTCTTGGCCACCATGATGTTTAGTTGGGTGTATAGGTCAAACTTGTGTTGTTTAAAGAGAGCTTCATTAAAATAACAAGCTGTCTAATAGGAGTATTTATAGAATCCTGCTCCTTAATTTAATCTTTTCTCTCACTGTTTGCTTTTAGGTTCTAAGTTCAAAGGCATGATAGAAAAGAAACCAAACTTTGCAGGCGCCCTGGGGGGAGAAGGGCAATGTAACTAATCGTCTGTATGATTGCCCAGCCATAGACTCCCCTCTGACCTGTGCAGAGTTCACAAAAACATTTACCCGAGTGTACAAACCGATTGCTGCTGCTCCATATCTGTTCCAGATGCATCCTCCATGCCACCCGCACAGCAGGAAGCTGCAGCAGAGCCTTGCTGTGCTGTGGTGGCCAGACATGGGCCCAGCCATTTTTGAGTGCTGCAGAGCAAGGGTGCTCTGCACTGCCTGGAGACGTGGAGGTTTGTTTTGTGTGCACGTGCTCTCTGCCTGCCCATCCTCTCCAGCCATGGGCACAGCTGAGGCCTGAGCATGAGGCAGACGAGGGTGCCAGGCTTGCTGGGCACAGCAGCAGTGGCTGTGGGGAGCTCAGCCCTCACTGCAGTGGGGTGCTGCTCCAGGCCTTGCACCAGTGCTGCATTGTGACTTGCCCTACAGCTTCCACCTCCTGCTCTCTCAAGGCAGAAAGCCCCATTCTCTGTGCTTGGCCACTGCCGCTGCCATAGAGGGGCTTTGTGTGAGCCAGTACAAAGTGAGGATTGATGCTAATTTCTCCTCCTCCTGCTGCACCAAGCGGGACCGCAGACGGCTCCCACAAACGTCCCCCCTTCCTCCTGCCGAGGCCAGAGTGCTTTTGGGCTGCTGGTAAAGGCACCTTTACCTGCTCCCACAGGGGTGCCAGGGACTCCCAGGGCCGCATCCTCAGCCTTTCCCAGGCCAACACTGCTGCTGCTCAGGATCCTGCCGGGGCAGTGTTCCGCAGCATAAGCCCCATCCTTACCATCACTGCTGTGGAAGAGGAGGGAGTACCGGATGCTCTGCGCATGCCTGGGCTCTCCCAGGGCTTGAGAGAGGGGGCAGAGCCCCCCTGCTTTCCACCCTGAGGTGTCAGTGCCATCCCAGCTGCCCCTGCTCCCCTCGCTTCTGCAGAGCAAGCCAGTGCTTGGTCAGGGTGGGTTTGGGAGGCTGGAGGAGCAGATCTGCTTCCTTGCAGCCATGCTGGAACCTGCCCTGTGGTGTTCTTAGTGTGCTGGGGAATATCGTCACTTACCTGGATTTCAGTTCAAAATGGCTTAAGAGAAGCTCCTATCAGCATTCATTATCTCCCAGCTCCTCCCAATGTGTAATAACAAGTCATCACATTATTGAGAGTGACTTGGAAAAGGTTCAGAAAATGTGTGTCTGTATGAAGAACAGATTGTAAGTTCTTTTTCAAGTTCACATTATGTTTGCTTCGTGCTTCACGTTTTAGGCAGTGGGTTCTGGATTATTTGCAAGGCATCTGGATGAGCCGGTGGAGCAGCACAGGCAGAGCTTTCCACTGGGTTTGGTTCATCAGCAGTAGTGGTTTTGCCATTACCAGTTCCTAGCTTCTGTTTTGGACTCCTCAGGTAGTCTGGCTGTTCGTGTGACATTATTATTGTTTACCTAGGGCCCAGACTTGCTCTTTCTTATTGCCTGCAGCACGATGTTTGTTCTGACTGGGCACTGTGAAGTGTAAACCCAGGTCCCACTGGCACCAGCACTCACCTCTGCCTTTTCTAGGAGCAGTAAGTAACCAGCTGTCTACATGGCCTCGAAATGCTGGGGTTTAATTGCTCTGAGGAGGGAATTGAATTAGGTAGCTCTGGTTCACGGCTTGTCTGGCTGCGCAGCAGTGACGCTTGTTTACACAAAGCACTGCCCTTTTATCTTGGGGTGCGTGGGGGGCGGTTTCCTGGGGCATTCCTGCCTAAAAGCTGGAGAAGACTTGCCCTGACTGGCTGCCTCTGCAGGAGACCACGTGCTGAGGCAGTGGCACCTTTCCCCATCCTCCTCAACAAGTTGTTTCAGCAGCTCTCTTGTCTTCTCCTCCTGCTTCCTGCAACAGCATCTCTCCAGAATCGGTTGGTCTTACCTGCTTCTATCCCCCGTTGCATATCTCCTTCCTGTGAAGTACTTGGTGATGTGTCCCTTCTCCTGGAAGATGCTCAGGCCTCTTCAAGGCCTCTTTCTGCTTTGCATCAGACCACCCCGTGCTGCTTCATCTGTGTTCCCTGGTGTTGAGGCCCTCTGCAGCAAGTGCAGTTCTGCGTACAGCGCCAGATACATCTGTGCTGCTACATGATAATGGTCTGGTTCAGGAGGGTGTGTGGGATTGAAGACTTGTGGGGAAACCCCCAGTGTGTGTAACACTCGTAGTGGATGGGGACCCTCACAATCAAGCCATTAGGAGCAGATTTCTTGCTGCTTGAAATAGCAGAGCTGCTTCATCTGGGATGAAATTTGCCCTCTGTTTGGAAGGGAAGGGAATGAGCTTGGGTTTTCCCATCATTGCTAGATGGAGACCAGCCCATGCTAAGCATCCTGGAAGCAACAAAATTAATCTCAGAAGAGGCTGCAGGCCCAAATTCCAAACCTGTTGGGCATTGCACAAATGTACCCTCTTATCAAAAGCAAATGAAAGTGCAGGAGGTGTGTCTGGCCTAATCCCTTGTTTAACTTGGCAGTCTGTGGTGTGTCAGCACAGGCACTGTGGCATGCATGCAGGCTCTCTCAGTGCTCTCTGTCTTCTGCTGGGGTGTTCTGATGAACAGCCCTTTAATTCTGCTCCTTTCTTTCAGGATCAGTCCATAATGCCTGAAGTGCGAGACCTCTCCGATGCCTTGCCCGACTTGCCGATGGATCCCATCACGGGTGTTGGTGTGGTTGCATCCCGGAACCGAGCACCTACAGATTATGATGTAGTAAGTTGAGCTGTTTCAGCTGCCATTGCTAATGCTTTGGTTCTAGGCTAATGAGGCTTTACTTTGCTGGGAACAGCATCTCTTCCAGAGAGGGCTTGCCTTCAGATGTGTCCTTTAAGAAGTAATTTGAGGTCCAGCTGCCCACCTCTCAGCCCACAGCACTTCATGCTTTCCCTCGGTGGAGGTTTGGGGGTGCAATCATGCTACTTCATCTGTGCCACTCCAGAGGAGCATAATTACCTGGAGGATGGGTTTTCAGAAACAGCTGGCCACTGTGGCATGCAAATTTAATAATCCTAGTAACATTCATCCTGAAGGAGTCTTAAGTATTGCACAAATTATATCTCTGGGTAAATGGATCCCACATCAGCTGTTTAATCCCACATATCAGCACTGCACAATGATGATGAGAAGCTCCAGAATGGGAAGCAAAGAGTTTCACATCCAGCTGAAATTGCAGGGATAATTTTGATGGACAGAATGCAAACTTCTAAACTAAGTTTTGGCAGGATGTTGGGCAGCAGGAAAAGGCAGCTGGATACAGCAGAGATGAGGATGTGAATGCATAAAGGGAGGTCACTGTTTAACAGCTGCTTGTTCCATGGATTAGTTACTGTGTAACGAACAACATGATTTTTCTCTGCATAGATTAGTGTCCCAAACAGTGAAATATCTTTAAATATTGACCTTGCGGAGCTCTATACGGAAATGTTTGGCCTGCAGTCACTCTGCTCGCTGTTGTGTGTATCCTGCTCTGACTGTGCTACATCCACCTTTGCTTTCCACAGTTGCACGGCTTGTGCGGTTGGGAGTGGAATCCAGTTGACTTGAGGTTTTTACTCAAACCTTTCCAGCTCTGGATCATTGCATACCCAGTTCAGTGTGAGAAAGAAGAAAATGGATCAGGCTGAAGTAGGGGCACTAGGGAGGGAATTGTGAAAAGGCTGCTTAAAAGACCTGGAAGGGTTTTTGCATTTACTGCATTTTTCTGAGTGCTCATTACCTGTGTGAGCCAGGCTGTGTAATTAGCTGCTTACCCTGATAAAGGAGCATGGGACAATGTGAGAGTTGTGATAACAGAATTGCATTCTGCTTAAATGACTGGGCAGAGAGCCGCTCACCCCAGATAGCCTGTCTGTGGTTTAATAGGGAGCTCCAGCGCTAACGCAGTTTAAACTAAGCAAGATAAAAGAGTCTTCCTGTGGCTTAATCCAATTACAGTGGTGTTGTAATAATGCTTGCGAATGTGGGTCGCTCTCTCCTGGGGGGTACAGAGAGGAGGCTGCCTTTCTTCTGGTTCTTCTGCTTTCCTCTCTGTTTACAAGGAGCTCTCCTCTGACCTTGGGGCCAGCATTCTCTGCTGCAGGCCGTGGGGAAGTGCCTGCTGTCTGCAGCTGTCTTACCCTGAGCACAGCTTTCACACACTTCAGCTCTGTATGGCACATCAGCAGTCCAGCTCCAGCCATGGTCAGTGTCTTTTTCACTGTAGCCGCCCAGGGTGCCACCCTGATATAACAGGGTGTCCTGGTGCACAGACCCAAAGGATAGTGGCATGCAGGGCTACTTTTCTTGCGTGGATGTCTGGTAAGGTGGCTCCTCTGCATGAGTCTGGGCTCTGGATCACTGTGTGGTATGCAGGGTTGTCACTTCCCTGTGACCTCTGTGGAACTCAAGTCTGCTGTCTCTGAAGGCATGAAGCCGAGTATGCAGAAGTGCCCTTCTCAGTGCAGTAGAGAAAGTCATGTTCTGAGACATGGGCAACGTGAGGACTTGGGCAGTCTTGGGCTGTGTTTCCTCTTCTATTTCCCTAATGAGACACCAACAGCTGATTGTTACTTCAGGGTGTGAAGCTTTGATGAAGGCAGCTGTGGCAGCTCTATCCTAAAAGTGTATTCCTGAAATCCCTGTTTCTCTTGGGATGTTGTAGTCCTCACAGGGATCTGATTGCTTTGCATTTTGCTCCAGCTTCCTGCAGCATTCAGTTCCACAAGTGGATTCAGAGTTGCATGGGAAAGTATTTCCTCTTATTAGTGATGAATTTGAGATCATATAGTTTCACTAATAGTTTTGAGTTTTGTGATGGTGAAGTATCCGGTTCTCTCTGAGACTGTGATGTTATTTATAGGCTTTGCCCAGCTTCCTCTTTGTTCATGTCCTTTCTCCAACAACCAACCATTGGCATACTCTTTTCCTTCCTTTTACCTTTGCTTCTCTTTAAAACAAACCAAGCAAAGGCATGGGTGCTTTCAGCCCAGGTGTAACTTAAATGCCCTGGGGATGTCCCTGTGTGTTTCCCAGGTTCACATGGAGCCCAGATCCAGGCATCCTGCCCAGCTCGAGGTGGCAATGTGACAGAGCCCAAGGGACCAGACCCAGGAGAAGCTTGGCAAATGGGTCAGAGATCTTTTCCCTCAGTAGTTTAATTAGAAACCTCCACTGCCGTAGTGTCTGTTTAGAAAACGACTTGTCTTGACTAGCCAGGTATTTTAACAGCTGAAGCACCAAAGACTTGATTTTGCCAAAATGTACAGTGTGTTTGAAGTTAGATTCCTGAAAATCTGCCCAAACTGGCAAGACTGAGCGTATGGGTGGAGAGGAAAGGGAGGAGAGACGGGAGCCTGGGGTAGGAGAGAGGTGTGGTTCCCGTGCAGCCACACTGCTTGCTGCTGGCTGACTGTCAGCTCCGTGTGGGGTTTGCTCTAGGGCGAGAGCCTGAGCATGCTGCTCACCCAGGGCCGTGTTGGAGCAGGGATGGTTCTGCACCACTGGTGTTTGTAGCTTGAGGAATGTCTTTGTCAGCTCCTAAGAAGGACCATTCCTTGTGCCTGGGGCACTGGGTCCTGGTGCTGGGTGCCATGTCCTTCATCCCACATGTTACGTATCTCTTAGCCAAGCAGAGCACTTGATGAGCTGGGGCTGCACAGGATAGACAGGTCTGCCTTGGCCTTTCCAGGCCAGCTCCCCTCCTGTGTTGCCCCACCGAGGGCACTCTGCCATTGCGAAGCAGCACTGCTCAGGCAGAGTTCTGCTTCAGGAGGTGGTGGGGATCCTCCTTGCCTGCAGGAGCCCAGCAGATGATGTAAGATGTATCCTGTTTATATTGCACTGTTTTCTTTCCCCATGAGTTTTCTGACAAGTTAATGCATGCTTATGTTCCCCAGGCTTGGAAGAAGACTTCGGTGGGATGATGCGCAGGCAGGGTGCTTGGGGTTAATGTCACCTGTGACTTCTATTTCAGCAGAAGCAGAAATGATTTCTAAAAACAGTTTCTAAACAGGGCTGGAGTCCAAGTGAAGGGCCCCTGCATGCCAACGGTTTTTCCAAGCAGTCTGTTGTCTGAATATGTTTTCACCAGGCCAGACTTAACCATAGGGGAAGGAGATGTGCATGGATTTTGTTATGTTCCTAAAGTAGCACTTTAGGAAACAGTTGAATTCAGGGAATAATAAAGCAGCAAAAAATCCCACCAAAATCCTGTTTTCAGATTTTACTGTTTAAAAAATGATGCCTGTTTCTTTGCAGAAACCTGACTGCAAAAGCTGTGTCGTGCAAGGGCTTGAGCTGAGCAGGGGCTTGTGAAACAGCAGTTGCTGAAATGCGAAGAGCAGCCAATGCACTTTGCTCCCTTTGATCAGACAATAAACAGGCTTTTCTCTCCTGTACTTGGGATAATTGGAGGGTCTTGTCAGCACGCATCTCTTGCTTCCTGTGCCCTGCACAGAGCCTCTCCTCAGCAAAACATGGGTGCAAACAGTGACAACAACTGTCAGCTCTTTGTTATCTGGCTGCTCTGGGCCCAAGGTCTTACTCAATAAGATTAGACTTGGAAGAGCTGCAGTGGAGCAGTTTGCCCCCATCTGAGAAGCATTAGGCAGAAGTTCAGCTGTGCTTCTGGAGTCTTCTGTTGGGAGCCATCAGTCAGGTGTTAGTCTGGTGGGGTGATCTTATTTCTGCTACCCCTGTGTGTGCTGCTTTGTGTTCTCTCTTATTTGATAACAAACCTTCAGTGGCAGGGGCTCTTACCAGCTTCTGGTGCAGGGTGAGTGCCCAGTTGCTAATAGAGCAGAGTCCTTTCCCTGGGCACGATGCTGCCTTGTGCTCACTCATTGAATCAGCTCAAAGGTGAAATCTTCTGCCTTTCTCTTCTTGTACGTGCCTGTGTGTCATGGTTTTAGGACACCATGTGATTTGAGGGTCAGGCAGATGGACAGACCCACAGTCTGTTTCCTTGGCCCTCCGTGTGTGTGCCACTGATTCAACTGGGCATAGAGTTGCATTGGAAAGGGATGTTTTCAGGGTGCATCCTCACACACAGGACTGCTTTTGAAGTCCACGAGTGACCAGGGCTTTCCCCAGCTGCTTTAAGCAGCCTTTTTGCCTGGAACCAGAATTCCTCTGCCTCTTCTGTGAATATAATACTGAGATTGGGCAGTTTCTGTGCTTTGTCTACATGGACCCTCCTCCCAGCTTGCCCCAATGTGCCCTTGCCTGTAGGGTGGTAATGAGAGCCGCGATATGCTGACTTTCCCAAACTATTGTTTGGAAACTGTAACCAAAGTTGCTCTTTCCTCATTAGAATAGCCTTTGTCAGAGCATCTTTAATCAATGGGCTCCCAAGAGACAGCGTTTTTAGAACTTCTTTTTATACCTCCTCTTGGAAGTTCTTTGCACTGCACCTTGTGAAGAAACTAATGAGATGCTGTGAGAGTTCGGGCTACCGTTAATTAGAAGAGGTCTGAGGAAGAAGTACTGCACATATATTAACTTTATCTTGGCTCACATATCTCCTCTGTCTCTTCTTTCCAGGTTGCACAAACAGCAGATGGCTTGGATGCTGACCTCTGGAAAGACGGCTTATTTAAATCCAAGGTCACACGATACCTGTGCTTCACGAGATCGTTTTCAAAAGAAAATGTAAGTCCGTTTGCTGAATGTCTGTACGATTCGCATCTGTGCCTGGCATGCTCTTACCCATAAGGTAATTCATTTTATGGAGCCAATTATAATTCAGGCAGGCACTTCACCGAGTTTGGGTGAGTCAGGAGGCAAACTGCAATGGCAGGGTATTTGCATTTTGTGTGTTCTTCATGGAAAGAAATTGCTGGCAAAATCTGCAATAAAAGCTGCAGAAAAGGGAACACTTGCATTTCAGAAACCCCCTCACTTTAGTGTTTCCTGTTTTAGCACTGGGTGCTGCGTGCTCATGATGCTGATGAATTTCTAGCTCTACCTAGAGAAGCAAATGCTACAGGGAATGTTGATGAAGGAAATATTAGTTTCTGAATGCTGGGGTATCATGGATACTTTCTTGCAGGATTAGCTTCCCTTTCTTTGTTTTTTTTGGTGCTGATTCTTGCAAATTTGCCCATGTTGTACACACCATGTTCCTCTGATCTTCTAGTGTGGCTATTAAGCATTGGGTAATTTCTGATTAGTGATGGCCATCTGCCCACATCTGCGGAGGAGAGGTGACCATGTGCAATGAGATCCTGATGCCTTCTACAGTGGTTTTGGTTGAGGCTAGTGTGAAAACTTCCCCTTTTCTGGAGGAACTATTTAATTCCACAATGAATGCACTCCATCTAGTGGGTAATCCTGCTTTTTGTCGTGTTTTGGATATTCACAGTGACTCAGTTGTCAGGCTATGGAGATACCATTTTGTACCTGTGCTTTCAGTGACAACAGGAACAGAAAAGCGACTGTGACCTCAGATGTTGATCGTGGGTCCTGACAGGAAGGCTGGGGGCTGCCAATTTCCAGCATTTGACCTTTATTCCATCCGCTTCCCTGCCTGCCTCTACATTAAAATAAAGCTCCAGAGCTATGGGAAATACCACTTCCTGGGGTAGATGGACAATAATTGTGCTTTTCATCCTGGAGTACCTGCACTAGCAGGAATAATAGCTCCAGAACAGGCAGGGAGGGCATTAAATACAAAGATTCGTGATGATTTGAGTATACAGTTTATCTGTGGCTACCTTAAATGTGAGGTTGTCAGAAATCATTATAGGGTAGTAGCAACTGCTGGCTACCAGAGAGTGTAAATACCCTCAGTCGGTGCCTGTTGAGCTTTTGGCATGAATCCTCTGCTCGGCACGGTTTGGGAATACATTCCTCATATTGATGAGGAGTGAATTAAAGTGAGTGTATGGGGAAGACTGCTGGTCCCAGCTGCCCCTCAGGTACCTGGATAATAACGGAGATAGTTTGTAGTGTCTTTTTATCAGAACCATCATTCTTAACAGCTTACAGTATTTGACAGATAAGGACATTGCTGGTATTTGAGTGTCATGGTGAGGAGGCCCCGAGTGGTGCATCTTGCAAACGGGAAGGCTTTCTGCCCTTTTCTCCTGTGTTTGTGGCAGAGCACTGATGCTGACTCCCAGTGTTTCAGCAACTAACAGACTTAACAGAGGTCATCTCTCCTACCTGTCTGCTGTTGATGGAGGAATGATCAGCTGAAAGTTGCACACTGATGTAACACAGCCAGACAGTTTGGATAAATAAAACATGAAAGGTGAATCAGCAGCGACCACTTCATCTACCATTTGCTGTGCCAGGACCATGGTAACTGATATACTCAGGCTTCACAGCATCCAGCATTGCTGGCTCTGAAATGCCCTGGCCAAAGCGGAATGGATGCATGTGGGTGGCCTTCCTCATGAGGAGTTAACCGTGAAACACAGAACCTCCAAAAAATAAACTCAGACCCGATTTCCCCTTATTTTAGAGGCTGCAAATTTAAATGTTTTAAAATAGCTCAGTGTAATAATCACAGGAGAGATTTGTCTGAAATACTCTGCCAGATAAAAACTAAAGGAGACACTTATCGACCAGTAACAGTAAAAAACACTGACATGGTTTGATGGCTTAGGGTGAAATTTTAATTGTTCTGTATTGCATTTCTGTTTATAAAGGCTGTGCAGTAACTAAAGTGTGTTTTTCTTCCATACGTGAATCCAGATTATTGGCAGCAGTGCTGGCTTTAATGAGAACTGCAAAGAAAATCTGGTCTCTAAACAATTGTGGAGGCTGTCATTCTGAATTGTGTTTTGAGCTCTTCAAGCCTTGATTAATAGGGCGAGGCATCAGTTCAGAATTCATATGGACTCCAAATGAAGTTCTCTGTTCCAAATGGCCTGCTCTTCTGGAGTGTGCCTGTGTTTGGAGCTAGAACCATGTCTGTTCAGTACTAATTAGCTAATGCATGTAATAACTTTGGCTGTGTCTGCTTGAACCATCTTCCCGTAATGCTTTCTGCTGTTACTGTCACAGAAATGTCATGTTGCTATTGTAGGTGTAGAGTGTGTGAGAACTAAGGTGACCTGCTTAGTGGATGAGGTAGCAGAGGTAATACTTTGAACGGCTGTGTTTCCAAAGGGAAGAATTTGGTTGTGCTTCTGAGGATCCAGGAGTATGGCAGTGGATGAGGTGTAAGAGTCTATAAATGCTGACAGTTGTCCAGTATCTCCTAGTCAATTGTCACACAGCTCCTGCAGAGGAGACAGTTGCAAGTGTTGGCTTGCAGCTTAACCGTTTTTAATGGTGCTGGTCAGATGCAATGACAGTGTCTTGGGGTTCAGCAGGTGAGAAAAGCTGGGTTTGAATTTGGTGACATTGTCGTAGTTAACTGTTGTTTTTTGTCTCTCCAAAGAGTCATCTAGGCAATGTCTTGGTTGATATGAAGCTCATTGATATCAAGGACACTTTACCAGTGGGCTTCATTCCCATCCAGGAGACCTCTGATACACGTAAGTTGGCATCTGTTTTTCAGTCCCATGCTTTGGGAGCAGCCTTTCCACCAGTGCCTGTGTGGGCAGCAGTGTCCCAGGCAGAGGGATGCTCTCAGCACTGCTGTGCTCTGGAGTTACATGTGCATGTTTGAGGCAGCTCTGGACTGCAGTGGAACAGCCTTTCATTTTCCTGTACTCTTCCAGGTTTCTTAACACTGCTTCCCGGCTGCCACCAGCGAGCCTGCTAGAGCAGGAAGGAGTAGTTCATGTTCTCATTTTGTGAGTGTGGGCTAGGCCTGGTGGGAGCAGAGCTGCTGTCCTGAAGGATGGTCTCAAATGCATACCAAAGGGAAGGGCATGTGCTTGTGGTGCAGGATTCATGCCTGACAGCTTTACATAACTGAAGGCAAATGTCCTGTCAGGTAGTGCTGAGGATGGTGGGGTATGTTTGCACTTACTGAGAGAAGACACAAATGGAATGTCCAGGGAAAGTACCACCCTCATTTCTAGAAGACAGAAGTCATTTTGCTGCAACATTTAAGCCAGCAGCTCCCAAACAGTGTATTTGGATCCTCGTGGCAGTTGGAGCCACATCTGGTCGCATCATTCTGCTCTGCAGCAGCATCAGGTGTTTTGGGCCTCCAGTGTGGAGGATGGGGATGAGCCCCACTGGAGCTGAGTGTGGAAGGGCTGCAGGACACCATGTGCTGATACAGCTACTGCTCAGGTACAGTGATGGTACCAGGCTCATCAGTAATGAAATCCAGTGTAGTTATGAGTAGAAAGGAGTTCTTCCTTTGCATGGATTCATTCATCTGCATCTGTAGCAGATGAGGGTGTTTTTTCAGTCGCTGTCGACCTGGTTCTGATTTGAACCCGTGACCTAGAAGTGAAAGGCTCTACAGCCCATTTCCCATTCTCTTGGCTCATCCCCTTTTCCTGGAGAATTCCTGGGCACATACAGGCTGGGGAAGGGTCACAGGTTTATCCTGCTCACTCTTGGGAGTGCTGGACACTTACCATGAGCTGCTGTAACTTTTGTGAAAGTCCTGGTGAAAAGGTGGAAGGGGACTTTACAATTAATTTCAATGCATTAGATTGGAACCCAGACCATCTTCAAAGCAAAGGCCCTGTTTGTATTAATGAAGCAGCGCATATCCCTGCCTCCATTAGCATGAATGAACACATTTTGATTGACTGCTTATAATATGTTTACGTAAAATTAACTCTAGTTAAGCATGTGTAATTAATGAATCCAGCTCCTAAACCAAGTTTGCTACAGACTGCAGACTCTAGCCAAGTGTGAAAGAGACCAAAGACAAAAGCAAACAGTCAGCTCTGTACTTCTGTGAAAGTCAAATGAGAGACACTCATTCTGTTCAGTTACATGTTTCTGTGCTCTTACTCTAAGTGACAGTTGACTCGTAGTAAATATATTAAATACATTACTCCTTACTAGGTTCTGAGGAAATTTCCAGGTGTGGAAGTCTTAATCCCTGGGCTCCCAAAATCAGTTTTAGGCACTTCAAATAAAAACCCCAGTTTTTCAGAGCAGGAGAGACTAGACTTTAGGGATCCAGGTATTTAGCATCTCTAAAAAGCAGCATGGGAAGTGAAAAGCTGCATGCACAGATGCTGTACGGTGACACACCTCTCACTGGCTGTACATTTGTTGGTGCTGGTGTGACAGCAGATTTCAGAGACTGGGATGGATTGCTTTCTCCAAGGTGTGGATTACAAGACAGGAGGAGCCTACAGAGACAGGGCTGCTTGCCATCTGTCGAAGTGAGAGCACATTTTTAAGCTGGAGGATATTTATTCATGTTAACCTGAAGGGTTTTTATTTTGCAGGCACTTGTTTGTAGTTGTTGGTTGGTTCCAGATTTTCATTCAGTGTGTGCATTTTAGATTTTCAGCTTATCCACAGACTTCTGTTGTGTCTTTTAAGTGCTTGCATTCACAAATAGAAACCTCACCTTGCTCACGTTCAGACTCTTGAGGGTGAGATAAAGCAGTGGTTTCCAAGCACCGCAGATCTGTCTGTGTGCCAGTGCCACCCATTGTCATGCGACTGATCCGTAGCTGGATGCGGATTGTATCTGTGTGCAGACAGCATGCATATACATGAATTCATTATACAGATAAGCCTTAACTCTGATGGCTTGAGTTTTTCTTGATGGATGACATGGAAACAAGTGAAATTGTTCTGTGATGCTTGGCAGGAAAGGGCCATGCAGCAGATTCATCCACCCTCTGAACACAGGTCAGTGCAGCACAGTTGCTCTGTAGGAGGTCCTAGCAATTACTGCTTTGTAAATCTGGTTTATCCCTATGAAGATTCCAGGGCAGAGTATCATTTCAGTGCTTGCTGCCTGAGTCAGGAGAGGTCAGTGACACGTCGGATGTGTGAGACTTGGGCAGACAGCTTGTACTGCTGGCCACTCCGCGTGGCGGTCTGTTTTCCTGCCTGCTGCTCCTCATTGGTTGGCTCTTTGGAAGCACTTGGCAGAATAAACTGACCGGTTGTGTCAGCAGCTTCCAGGTATGTTCCTAGAGGCAGTGCTTGTGGGAGGAATATTTAGACAGGACTGTGCAGGCAGGTAAGGCAAATATTACTGTGGAAAGAGAAAGTGAATGTGAGAAGTATGTGGAAGTGGAAAAATCACCTGCCATTTCTGTTCTGTGGTGCCGTGGCATACATGATGTCTTATCTTCTCCGCAGAGGGTAGTAGGGAGTATTGGTTTATCACAGTGCCTAATAACAAATCTCACACAGTGTACAGACTGCTCCTGATAGAAGATTTCTCCAGCCACTGAATGGCAATGCACTGTCTGGTTTGCTGACATATGTCTGTTCTTTGGCTCTAGTTCCTGCCATAATTATCTCCCTAATATCTGGAGAGACAATAAATAACATTTATACTCTAATCTTGCATAAAAAAACTGCCCCATGTCCTGGGTTGTTTTTGCAGAAGAAATAGCTTTCAGGAAGAAGAGGCTGTGCATTAAATTCATCCCTCGAGATTCTACAGAGGCAGCGATCTGTGATATCCGAATCCTGGGTAGATCTAAACAGGCGCCTCCTCAGTACACCTTCATAGGGTAAGTATCCCTCACTCCAGGAGCTGTTGTCCTAAATTCAGTTGTACCAAGACTAAGCACCGTGTTTTCCTGTAATTACTAAGTAGTAGTTTGTAAGAGCTGAAGCTTGTTATTAGAAGAGTTTACATAAGTACAAGTGTTACTGGATTTGATGTAGGCATTAAGTAACACCTTCCCCCCCTCTCCTTTTCTCCCCATTAGGCTGGTTCTCACTAAACAAGGTGTTCGTGGAGCATGCCAGTGCTTCATACTTATGCATGCTTATGTGTGTCATTTGCTTATGGCATTAATGTCTTCTGTGTGTATTGCACAGGGAGTTGAACAACATGGGCATTTGGTACCGGATGGGCAGAGTTCCACGCAACCATGAACCTGCGCAGCCTGAAACTCCTCCTTCCCAAGCACCATCTTCAACACCTGCTCCTAACCTGCCAAGGTAAGTTTTCTGCTTTCCAGCCCCTTCTGCTTGATGCTGCATGGTGTATTGTTACTAACCTTGCCTGATGGAATCAAGACCAGGGTTCCACATCAGTATGAATGGTTACGTGGTGTGATCTGATAATGAGGGAGTGTGTCATTGTTTCAAGTATTTGCCCAATGGAAGTTCTTTGGCTGTCATTGTACAAAGACATACAAGTGAAGAAGTCAGAAGAAAGAAAAAGCCTGCAGAGGAAGGGAAATGGCCAGCTACACCTTTTCTTTGCTTTAAACTGTGTGGAACGTTACAGTTTCCAGCAAGTATGTGTGGGTCATCCGTAGAGGGTAGCCCAGAAAGTAGCCAAGCTGACTTCTGTCCTTGACCAAAGGGAGGGAGAAGCATTCATACAGATTTTAACATACAGGGAGGCAATTCTGCTCATTCTCCAGAATCAGTGTGCTCACAGTTTGAAGTACGGGCCCTGTTTTGTCTTTTTGTGGACCCGGCTACAGTGCTGCAGACTTGCAGCTGCCACTGAGCATGCAGAGCAGGCTGCTTATCTGACAGGAGCCATACTTCTGGCCAGATGCTGGCATAGTGTCTGTCCAGGTTGTTTTCCCTGTGTTATAGATAATGTGTGTGTGTGTGTGTGTGTGTGTGTGTGTGTGTGTGTATAAATGTATGCACTTGTGTGTATACTTGCATATAGCAGTAATCCTGTATTGACAGCTTACTTGCTGAATTTCTCAGGGCAAAATAGAGTGTTGTTAAGCAACAAACCAACCCAGACAGAGGTTAAACTGAGTGCTTTATGCTCCTGGCATTTGCTATGAAAGCACAGCATCTAGAGTGAGATGGGCTCTTCCTGATGAGGCTTACTCACTGAACTCTGGGGCTGGGTTATTGCCAGGGGGTAGCGCATTGTGTATGGTCCCTTTGGGCTTTTGCTTAATTAAGTGAACATGTATTTTTGCACTAAGCATTTGGTATACTGCAGATACATTTACAGTATTACAATAACTGTTAAGAGCTAGAATTACAAAAGAGACTGCAGAGGGGAATTCCCAGGGGATTGGTTTCTATGTAAAAGTCATTATGTCATATAGGTGATACCTTTGTCCTTCAGAGTCTTGATTTACAGGTCATTTCAGAGAGTGGTGCTTAAACTGCTCTGAACTGTTCTCAGAAAAGCTGTTGGGTATCTTTGAAGGCAGGTGTGTACATTTGAGCCTTCACCCATGACCCAGACTTAAATCTGCTGTCTTGTGGTGGCTCTTCAAGCTCTCCAAAGCATTTGGGCATTTCTTTCACTGAGAGTTTTACTCAGTCGCTGCCATGCTGTGGCATGCTGCTAGCTATCCTGTACTGTCAGGTGTGCTGCAGGCAGGGATGCTGTCTTGCCTCTGAGAGATGAAAAGCCAGCAGTCTTTTGGAGATTTCAGGCTGTCCCACTGGGAGCTGATAACGTTGTTTTGAAGCTCCACTGGACATAAAGCTACATGCTGGCACAGGCCATGTGAGATCAGAGAAAAAGATGTCTTGCTTTTTAGAGCACAGATCTTCATTTTCTGTCTGCAAGAAATTCCTGCCTGGGCAGATTTCCACAATAAAGAGAAAAAATTATCATAGCAAGAGAATGTCAATGGCAGTCCTTAATCACTAAGTGTGGAAGGGTCACTTTATGGCTGAGCAGGGAAGGCTGTTGAGCAGTGTCAGAGCTATTGGGAACAGGGCCAAAATTAGAGCTCAGAGCATCGGCGACAGCCTGAAAAGAAGTGTTTACAAGGCTTATATATTTTATAACCTCTTGTTGTACAGTTTATGGTTTACAATGGCTGCAAGGAAATTGGATCAGTTTTGTTTTACTTGCCAAATAAAGCAAATGTCAAAATAGTCAATATAAAATGTATTCTAATTTGGCTGAGTTAAACCAGCCAGTATGCAGTGGAATAATTGAATGTTACATTAATGCCTCCTAGTAAAAACCACCTGTCTGTAGCCAGCTCCACTCTCATGCCCCATGCATGATTTACAGGTAACTTTTACACCACCAGCCTGATCATTCAAAGCATCTTTCATGTCTGGTTTTTTTTCACTCTGATTATTTATTATCCAATATATTTTTTAAGAAATAGAAATGTATATAAAAGTGTATCCTGCAAATATTTCATTATTATGGGGAACACGTACGACTTGGAAGCCTTTCCTAATACTTCATCAGCGATGTGGTAAGTTACTCAATACTTAATGTTGGTGGAAGATTGTAGTCACAAGTAACCTCTTATTTTTACGTCACCATAGAGAGATGAGATTATACTAGTAGACAGTTTGTTGTTTTATTCCATGTGGATATGTCCTGACAGGAACAGCAGGGAGATATTCTGATGCTTCTGTGAGTGTTAAGAGGAAATCCATGAGCAGTGCTGAATAGGCTGGTCAAATATTTAAGCTATTCAGTTGCTGTCTGGCATTATAAAATAATTTTAAATCAAGAGGGCATGCTTGGGTGCTTCAGAACAATTGCTAGCATGGGATATAAACTAAACCAGTAAAACACACCAGTGAGCTTCTGCACAGCAAAACCTTCCTAAATGGAAGGACTTTTTACTGTGGGAGATGTTTATTTCTGCTCCAGCTGTGTTTCCTCCTCTGATCCATGATGTAAGTTACTGATGACGATGGATGGCAGCACATCAGAGTTTTGTCATGTGTCAGAGGTTTGACCTCCACAGCTTGCTGCACATCAGCAATGCTGCTTCCACTGCTTTTGCCGCGGGGTTATGGCTCGCAGTCAGAGCTGCACAAGGGGAGGCTTTGTCTGATATCCACGCTGGACTGCATATGTTATTTTTCAGCCATTTCTTCTCCTTGGTGTTTCCTACTGCAGGCATCTGGCTTAATGGTCTCTAACGGCAGCCCTTGCACATTCCAGTGAGGATGGCATGCTGTGCTGTGGAGCACAACCGTGCCATTGTGCAAGGCATCAAGCTGCTTTACTGTCTTTTCTCTCCAAATTCTGCGACAGCTTCTTGGCAGTAATGGCAGCCTGGAGAAATGCACTTGCAGTTTCCCATCCTAGAAGGCTGCTGCTAAAGAACTGCTTTTGTCAACTTGAGTCATCAGTGGGAGTTTACTGTAACTTTCCTCAGAATCTCTGCTCTGTGTTCAAGACTTGCACTCACTGATGCTGCATGGTGACATCCCTTTGGGGAGCAGGAAGGTAATCCCCCCCACAAAAGAGGTGCTAGTAATGGGCAACTCACCTGGCCTTTTGCTTTTGCTTCACACAGCCTGTGAATGGCTGCCACCAGTGCATGGGCTGGGGGCTTGGAGAAAAATGCATGTTACAAGCATATGAGCAGTGTCTTGGGGCTCAGCCCTCCATGCCCCAGGCTCTCTTAGAGTACGATTTGTGTGTGATGTTCTCTTCCTGAGTCTAGTTCCAGCCTTTTGGGAGCAAGTCCCCCACTTCTGTGAATACACACAGAGCCAACCTTGAACCACTTTGCCTTGTGGCTGCCTGTAGGATGGCTCCATCACAGCCATGGTGCTCTATGAGCCCACGTAGCTTATGTGGTTTTACATCCCTTCCCAAGGTGCTGCAGGAGTCTCCACCACCGTTGCTCAAACAGCCCTCTCACAATTTGTCAGCTGCAAGCAAGATGTCAGTCAGTGCTGCTGAAGTGTGTTTTACAGTGACAGACATAATTGCACTTAACTTTTTGCGTGGATGTTATCAATCTGTGACGGATACTTTGGGAAATGGAGCACTCTGATTGCAGATAATGTGTCACAGGCGTTTAATCTTCCTCGCAGGGAGACTGGGATTCAGTCACAACTTTTACTTGTTGATGTCAGGTTTTGAAAATGTAGATTCGTGCTGACCCTGGGAATTGTTCAGTCATTTACTTTGCAGGGCTGTCATCTGAAAGGTTAATGGCTTACGAGGGAGAGGGAAGATCTTGCTGCAATCCGCTTGAATTCGTATCATGCGCTAGCATGGCTGGGCGCTCGGTGTTCAGGTTCCAAAGGGCAGAACTCCTCCAGGTGCCTTCCTGGGATGCCTGTGGCATGTCTCTGTGGCTGTTCTAGTTGAGAACCATAGGGCAGGACCCTCCTGGGGCAGCTGCAGGTCTCAGTGGGGCTTACAGCGCCTGCTGCCATCCAGGAGGGTCACTCATGCTCTGGACTGACCACAAAGGTGCATGGGTGAGCAAAACAGTGTTGACCCTGAATGCTGTATCTCCAAGCAAGCTTGGTGACCAGGGGAGGTGGCAGAGCTGGTGGAATGGCTGGCCTTGCCAGGAGAGGCCAGCAGTGTTGGAGATGCTGTTCCCTGGTTGGGAACCCTGAGTGGCTCAGTTGGGTTTCTCACACTAGGTGCTCCTGGCACAGCCAGGCACAAGCCATCATGGGCACTGGCAGAAGTGCCCATGAAGAAGTAGAGGCACCAGACCTGAGGACTCAGCATACATCTTGTGCTTGTAATTCCTCCCTGATCCACATAGCTAATAAGCTACAGAAGTGCTGCATCTCAAATCTCTTGCATATGTGGGTCTGAGCAGGGCTGGCAGCATCCTTTTCTGTGCAATCAGTCTGTGCCACCAAGTGCTCAGGCCTTGAAATCCTGATCTGGCAGGAGCATTGCACCAGGGAAGTGTTGCTCTGGTTTTGATAATCAGATAACAGTTGTCCTCCTTAAACCCCTGAAATAAGAGCAGGATGTGTAAATTTTCTTCTCGTGCTCCCAATTACCTTTTAAATAGTTAAACTGCTCCTCCTTAGAAAAGGGAAATGCTTTGCTTCTGTTTTCTGTTCCCAGTGGAGCTTAATGTTAAGGAATGTAAGAATTTCCTTTCTAGGCAGGGAAGTCTTGATTTTTCAAATTGATTTATTAATGGTGTTTGAACTTAGTCGTGTAAGCCTGGAAAGTGATCAGTGTGTGGCTTTCTGCTGGAGGCTGATGATGTGCAATAGGTGGCAGCTAATAAAGCAGCACCAAGCCTGCGTGGTGGAGA